GGCCCCCGCGGGTCCCACGGCCCTGCCTCCGATGAGGGGAGGGAGGGGCAAGTTTGGAGCGTTTCCCACCGACCCCGAAAAGCGCCTGATCTGCTGGGAGCGGGTCTGGGGCGGGGCAGGGCAGAAGCTCCAGAGCTTTCTCCTACAGGAACCTCTGAACAGGTTTTTTGGCATCGTCCCTCTCGGCAGGTGCCAGTCCTGGTGGGGTATTCGTGGAAGAAGAACATGTTTCTAAGGCAAGTAACCACTGTCCTCTGGTGGAATTTCAATAGCAGCCTACCAAGAATGGGAAAACACTCTCAGCCAAACACCATTTCTTGGTGCTGTGACCCGAGCTCTCAGCGGGTGACCACAGCACTCCCAGCAGGGGTGGAAGCAGCTCTGCTCCTCCTGTCTCTCCAGACCAGAAAACCAGAACCACAAGCGTCTGGATTAGGGTGAAGTTCCTCAGAGGACTGTGGTAAATCTGCTACCACAAGGACCAGCAGCTGGCGTGGGGAGAAATGGGGCAGAAGGGAACGTCTCCTCCTCACCCCCCAAGCACCACGCTCAGCAGGGCAGGCTCCTGGAGAACCAGACCCACAGGAGGTGTCCAGTTGGAAGGGACCCGTATGGAGCAGCAGCATTCTGCCTCAGAACTGGGTAGAAGGTGCCTCAGCCAGGCCCCTCAACACTGGGGTGAACTCTGGGGGGTCTCATGGCCAATGTGCCTAAAGAAAGGGGAAGAGCAGCTCGAGAAGGGGGGAGAGCAGCTCGAGAAGGGGGGAGAGCAGCTGCGTGTGTGTAACATGCATGGGGATTACACGGTGACGAGAACTAAAGGAAAAGGTCTGACACAGCTGGAACTGCTTCTGTTTGTTTTCAGAAGGAACAAAGTGATCAGAAGCCAAATCTGGGACCAGAACGACGACCAGGCAAAGCTAACACGGGTTCTGCAGGTGAATCCCACCTTATTTTGGAGATTGCTGTGGATCAAACTGCAAGAAGGCAGCGCAGGCACCTGACGTGCTGCCTGGTGAGTGCTGGGGCTGCAGAGGGCAGCGGGGCGAGCAGCCACGTGCCCCCACTTTTAATCTGAAAGGTGAAAAAACTTGTATCTAATAGAGTGACAGTGTGGGGAAATCCATCTCTGTTGAGCTGCTGCTCAGAGCTGTGTGGAATTTGTTTTTTTCCCAGTACTGCTTGTCAGCATTTCGTGGTGACATTTTTAAGCTGCATTTCGAGAGGCATTTACTGATCCCTTTCCACCTTCATGTCGTTCCTGGCTTCTGTGTTGCCCTTCCTGAGTCACTGTCAGCCAGAGCTGCTTTTCCAAAGGAGGAGGTTGTCTGAAAATGACAGCAGTGTTTGAAAACTGAAGTAAGCTCCCCAAAAAGGGAGCTGGGTACGGAGCCAGTGCCAGCAGCAGATGAGCTGCTGAGGTCTGAAACATTCCGGGCGCTGCTTGGCTGGTTACTCACCCGCTCTGTGGGCTCACATTGTCCAAGTGCCTGTGGGGTGGGAAATGAGCTATTCCAGCCCGCTGGGATAACAGGGGGGTAACGTGCCCGACGAGAAAAGGCCACGAGAAGCAGGTGGTGGCAAGATTTGGGCTGTTTCCCAGCTTTTGGGACAAAAGTGCTGGGCAGGACACACAGAGGACACAAAGCTCCTGCTGTGCTGTGTCGGGCAGGGCGCCTGTTCCATCTTGTTTCTCAACACACAACGGTGATCCTGGAAACAGGAGATCTAAAGATAGTTCTGAGGTCAGCAGGGAAACAGATCTGTGCTCCAGAGGGTCCGTGCTCCACCTCTGTGACGCCAGGGGGTTGCTGAGCTGGTGTCTGAGGCTGACTGCACTCTGTGAAACACTTCAGGGGTCTGAGCAGCCTGTGATATAAAGGGGTTACTGCCTTACATGCAAGTGTGTCCTGAGTGGTTCAGATGTGCTGTGTTGTGCTGAGGAAACAGCCTCAAGCTGCCCTGGGGGGGGTTGAGGTTGGCCCTGAGGAACAATTTCTTCCCCTTGAGGGTTGCCCAGGGCTGTGCCAGGCTGCCCAGGGCAGTGGTGGAGTCCCCACCCCTGGAGGGGTTCCCAAGCCGTGGAGATGTGGGGTGAGGGACACGGGGCAGTGGGGACCTGGCAGTGCTGGGGGATGGTTGGACTGGATGATCTTAAAGGTCTCTTCCAACCAAAACAATTCTGACTAATCCAGTTCCTTGTCCTTACCCTCTGACTACACAGGACACCAGACAACCCCTCCTCACCATACACACCAGCTCAGCTTCTGCAAGGCCTTCAGCTGCAGTAAAATCCCTGCTCCCTGGGGCCTTTTAAGTCACATGACATAGCTCAGGACACAGTCTCTGGATAAATGGTCAACATTTTAATTAATGTGTATGTAGGTAAGAAATTCCCCCTGTGCTCTTCAGCTTGTGGTCACCCCTCTGGGGAGTGCAAGGTTCCCTGTGAGAATCGTGACAGAAAAGTGCCAGGCAGAAAAGATAAATCTTTACATCTACAGGTAGTTCTGTAAAGTCACCTGTAACAATTCCTTTGTAGGAGCAGAAGGGAAAGTGTGCCTGGTTCCACTGAGGGCCAGCAGAAAGTCACCACCCAGGAGTGCAAACCTGGGCGTGAAAATACTGCTAAAAAATTATCAGTGTTAGAAGGAAATTGAAGGTGGGCATTGATACCTGCCTGAGTGAGTCCCAACAGCCTGGCCCCAGCAGCTCCTGCCCGGCTGCTGGCCCCAGGCAGGGTGGGGGGCGTGTTCCCCGACAGGATTCCTTCACCCAGGAACCCAAGGTGCTTCAGCCATAGAGCAATCTTTATTTCAAAATGCCATTTATTACAAAAATGTAAAAATCCAGCTAACCCAGAAACATTGAGATTATTTTCCTGGACCGTCAAGTCCACGGATCTTTGTCCCCGTATCCTTTTTCCTCACAATATTTTCCCCGCTTCCAGTCTGATTACAGAGGTGCAAAGGTGCCTAAAATGGCCTGGAATAGATAAATACATTGCGAAAGGCGAGAGCTGTAAAGCTAAAGGCATGCAACAAGTTCTACCAGGAAGGAACCCCCAGGAGGGAGCGAGGCAGAGACGCTCTGCGGGCGCCGGGAGGGCCCCTCAGTCGTCCTTGTCCTTGGCGCCGTGCTTCAGGATGCGCGTGAACTCGATGTAGTTGAAATTCCCCTTCTTGTCGATGGGCGCCTCCCTGTAGAGCTCGTCCACCTCCTCGTCCGTGAACCTGTCCCCCATGGTGGTCAGCAGCTCCCTCAGGTAGTCCTCCTGGATGAACCCTGCAAGGCAGCCCGCAGCCCCTCAGCACGCGGCGCTCGGGGCGGAGAGCCCCCGGCCCCACTCACAGACACCCACAGCCTGTCTGACCTCCCTCACCAAAACCACCGAGCAAACCCTGATGGGACCTGACCACCAGTGCTCGCAGGGAAGCTGGAAATTCTTCCAGGACTTTAAATCATCTTGAACCAGTGCCCACACTCAGGTTTATTACCCTGGTTGCACAGAGCAGGTTTGGGGTCTGGTTTATTAAAGGAGCAGCCATGGTTCCTCCTGTCAGTGCTCTCCAGAGTCACACTAGGTTGGGTTTTTTGCATTTTCTTCTCCTTTAAGTGCAGCTTAACACAGGGAGGGTGGACACAAGATGTTGACAGAGAACAATCCCTTAAAATCACACCAGCTCCAAAGATCAGGATTCCCCACATAAAAGTTACCCCAAAGCTGAATTTCTCATTAGGAAAAATTTAAAACCCTGGCTCCCAATCAATATATTTTTCACTCTCCTGTCTTGAACAATAGAATTAAAGGGCCAAAAGTTTTATGGGGTTTGATACTGCAGTTTCAGCAGATGAGGATACAGGCATGACTTGTAGTTTGCAGAAACCATGAATTTTTGGTTGGAAAATTCATCACCACTTCTGCAAACACCAGCCCTGCCTGGCCCAGCACTGGGCAGCAGCCACGTGTCCCCACTGGTGCCTCAGCCCCTACCTGTGGCCTCCTCATCGAAGCAGGCGAACGCGTTCCTGATGACGTCTTCGGGGTCGGTGCCGTTCAGCTTCTCCCCAAACATGGTGAGGAACATGGTGAAGTTGATGGGGCCCGGGGCCTCGTTCATCATGGCATCCAGGTACTCGTCCGTTGGATTCTTCCCTGCAGAGAGAGGGATTGTACCTGGGTCACAGTCACACCACAGCAGCGTGGGAGGGACCTCGGGGATCACCTGCTCCAGCCTTGCTTGGCCCAAGCCTGCTCTAGACAAGCTGGCCCAGCTCCCTGCCCAGCCAGACCTTGAAGTGTGCAGTGCTGGGGACTCCACCACTGCCCCGGGGGGAGGATTCCAGCGGCCCATTGTCCTCATGTGGGGACCTCCCCAGGGGTGACGTGTCCCCCCTGTCCCCTCGCCCCTGCCAGCCCTCGGGGCGTACCCAGGGAGGCCAGCATGTCGTGCAGGTCCTCCTTGTCGATGAAGCCGTCCCTGTTCTGGTCGATCATGTTGAAGGCCTCCTTGAACTCCTGGATCTGGGACTGGTCGAACATGGCGAAGACGTTGGAGGTGGCGCGCTGGGGGCGCTTCTTGGTGGTCTTCGTCTTGGCCCGTTTGCTGGACATGTTGGCTGCTGGTTCTGGGGAAACAGAAACACAGCCGAGGTCGAGCCTTGTTACAGCTGACTACAAGTCCCTGGGAGAGAGATGGACACAGAATATTAAGTTCTGTGTTATAAGCAAAAACCCTGAAGTACACTTTTGTTTTCTCTTCCCTGCTCCATCTCCTCTCACCCAGACATCCCCTGCTGTCGTGCGTGGTGCCTGTCAGCACGCAGGGACCTGTGCTGCAGGCCAGCAGCAGGCTACACACCAACCCACACCCAGGGTCTCAGGATGGAACTCACACAGCACTGATCTGGCAGAGTCACCACTCTGCCCACATCTTCCACCATCAGAAGGCTCAGGGGAGACTTTCTCAGTCTCTACCACCCCCTGCAAAGAGGCTGGAGCGAGGTGGGGCTTGGTCTGTTCTCTCGAGTAACCAGCAATAGGACGAGAGGCAATGGGCTGAAGTTGTGCCAGGGGAGGTCTGGATTGGATATCGGGAAGAATTTCTCTCCTGACAGTGGTGAGGCACTGGCCCAGGCTGCCCAGGGAGGTGGGGGAGTCCCCAGCCCT